TTTCCCCTTTGTTCTGGTGCTGGATGGTCTCTTCTTCGCCCAAGTTCTAATACAGGCGCTTGATTGGTTTGACGGTTGCTCCTTCATGTTATTCCACGAGTTGGAGCGCCCTAATTTGGCGTCCTTGGTAGGGTGTTGGGTTACAGGATTAAAGATGGTTATTATCATGGTCAACGGTATGGGCGGATTAAGTTGCATACCCTGGTGTTTCATGTTTCTGAATTTCTGCTCTGTAAAAATGACTGTTCCCTAATACCATGTGCTCTTACTGGAATATGCATATTCTCCAATGAGAAACTACGCTTGCCACTTGGGAACTATCTCCAAGATGGTGGTAGAAGTACCCTACAGTGCCACCATATGAACCATTCATAAACTCATATATAGTGCCTTAGTCTCATCATCCTATTAACACTGTGCGTAGACTCCGCCGTGACTATCCTAGGCCATGTTAGATCTGCGGAACCGGTCTGCTGAGTAACAGCCCATGCATGAACTCACCCTCAATCACTGGAATACGAAGCGGCCATCAATGTTTTCAATACGCTCAGACAGATTGACGTCAGCATCGTGGTACTGGCCGTCCACATCTGCCAACCGAGCCCGGAGGACGGGAACCGAGCCGCCTCCCTCGATAGCGAAGTGAACATTCTCGGCGGATTCAGAGAAGTTGACGCCGTCCCATTGAAAGCGACCTGCATCTGTCAGTCATCTGCTGTTCTGCCTCAGGATCATTCACAAGAGATGGAAGTACCGTTCTCGTTTCCGAGGAATTCGTCTAGGTTAATCGCGGCGTCTTGCAGTTCACCATCGTCTCTGCGGAGTCGAGCAACGAGCAGATTGCCATTCTCGATACGGATGTCTTCAGCGCTGAGGTGGAAGCTCATTTTGAATGTAAAATAGTCAAGAAGGTCTCTTGGAGGGGAATGGCACTTGATTGATCTGAAATAATGAGTATGCTCCGTACTCCTCTCGGGAAACAGCTTCAGCTTTATACCATCACTGTCCAGAAGTGTGGGCCGTCGCCCATATAGCTTATTGCGCGATAGATCATGCTAACCACCTGGCTTTGGCCTATTTGTTCGCATGCCGCGCATTATTGCACTTTAGTGGATACCACTGTGGTAGGTGCGACATTGAGCAGCGAACAGCGTCCCTGGCCCTGTGCACGTATCCCCTTTTGGCGTGAGTTGCGCAAAATCTTAGGCAACAGTATTTCACCACCAGCCACAATTGTACAAGAGCATGCAGTCACCGCCATATTGAAGCTGAGGGTTGTCTCCACCTGTGTGCTGCTATCGAGGCGCTTGGCGGCCACTTTAGCGGTGGACCCTGAGGGGTACTGATTCTGTTCATTGAGACCCCGCTCTTCTGATTTTCCCTAAGAAAATCAGTCAACGAGGAGGGGCAAACCCATCATGCCAGATTGCGGCATGCATGTCACTTATGAGGTTATTGTGCTGTGGTTCGCTTTTTGCCGTCTCATATTGTCGTGTCGACTGTTGTACGCAGCAAATCAGAACGGGATGAGGATCTGAGTGTAGGTAAAGTCTGTAGGGCTGATGTTGCTGCCGACTGTTAATTCGTTGACTTTACAACGGATTTTCCCGACTTACAGGGATATGCATGCGGTGGTGGTAGCAGGGATGGTAATATGGCTCCTTCCATGCGGCTGCCACTGAAGCAAATAGTCTGCTCCGAAATAAGTCCAGAGAAATGATGGATACCCGCGATAAGGACTAAACATACTCTCGACAAAATCTTTGTATGCCGCAGCATTCGATCTTCTGCATCACTTTCCCTGTGCTATGTAACGGTAGTGTTCCGTCCGCTGAGGCTTGCTTGACAAAAGACGGGTTGAGGTATCGCTACAAGTCCAAATTATCGAGAGCGAGAACACAGTGAAGTCTGAAAACCGCCATACCCAGGCATTTTTCCGTAGAATGTTGTTGGTACTCGAGAAGTCCGAGGTCTCAGAAGTCGATTCACAGCATATGAATCCAAGGCAGAGTATTGCAAGGCTTTGTGCTGTGGTGAGCCTGGCCAAGGTATTACAATGTGGTTTGCCAATGCGCAGTTTGAGTCCAAGTCAGCTGATTATGGGGATGAAGTCCTTCAAGCAAACCCAGTCGACTCTCAACGTTGCCTTTTCAATTCCTGATCTCTCCATTAATCCTTAACGGATGTAAGGAAATTCCTTATTCCTCCTCGTGACCTTTCCCACGACAACCAGAAAGTAGAGGGAGGCTGCAATTCTGAGCACCAATCGACGGAACATATACCCGTGATTCAGTAGCTCTGGGGTGGTTGGTTGACAGTGATGCTTGAGGCCGATGGCTATTGGTCGACTCCAGTGAACACTCTGACAATCTCATGCAACGTCTGTTTCCGCGCATGATTCTATGCCCAGGGTATAGTCATCAGTCTTACTGACTCGCATGCATTGCTACGTACGACGATCTACAGCGGGGTTTTGATTGATGATGCAATTGTAACTGCTCACTTTTTCGTTCTTCAACCATTCTGCTTCTTTTCTTTTTCCGAGATTACTCAAATTAGGCACTAGAGTCGATATTGCTGCTACGTTCTTTAATATGTTTATCACATGGTACATCGTAGCCTTCCTTGTCGCTGTAACCGTGGTGCGGGGCGTCTGGGTTATCATCTACCGATTGTTCTTCCATCCGTTGGCGAAGGTCCCAGGACCTCTTCTCGCAAGAGCGTTCTTCTTTTACTCCTTTTGGTACAATGCACATGGCGGAAGGCTTTATCTGCAGATCGAGAAGCTCCATCAAAGATATGGCAAGCAAATCCCCTCATCATGGACGATATCTCTTGCTAATCACCAATATTAGGCCCAATAGTACGTATCACACCCGACGAGATCCACCTCAGCGACCCAGAAGATGTTGACAAGATCTACTATCTTGGATCTCGGTTTGGCAAAAGCCCGGCCTTCTACCGTGCGTTTGGTTTAGATAATTCCATATTGGCCATTCCCGATAATGACCTCCATCGGGTCAGACGAGCAGCTTTGAATCCTTTCTTTTCGCGCAAAATGGTCTTCGAGCTAGAAGACGTCGTACAAGAAAAGGCACAGAAGTTGATAACTCGGATGCGATCGGCGTTCGAGTCTACGGGTTATATTGACCTGCATTACGGATTTCGGGCAGTTTCCCTTGACGTCCTCACTGACTATGCGTTCGATGATTGTTATGACTGCTTGGACAAGGAGAACTTTGGCGTTGAGATATCCAAGATGCTTCGTGACATAGGCCCTATGGTGTGGTTCTTCCAGGAATTTCCTTCTGTGCGAGATCTGGCTATTCAGACTCCATTCTGGCTCGCCAAATTGGTGAGCAAGTCACTGACAAGAATGATGCTGTTACGTGAGGTAAGAAGCACCTGCTCATGGCCCATTTTGATCGGTGGTCAGGATTGATTTGCATTCTGTTCAGCGTTGCATGCACCAGATCTTGAAGGTCAAGGAGGCAGTGGAAAATGGTGATAAAGTCTCACGAAAGACAGTCTTCCATCAACTACTTCGACCAGACGACACGGAAGAATACAAAGTGCCTACTGTCGAGCAACTCAGTGAAGATGCCTATATTTTCATTGCCGCCGCTGCTGATACAACAGGTAACGCATTGACAATTGCAGCATATAATGTCGTCAGCAATCCAGAGATATATGAACGTTTGACAGCAGAGCTGAGAGAGAAGATTTCTGACCCTGAAGCGAAAATGGACCTTGTGACCCTTGAGAAATTGCCCTATTTGGTAGGTTGCACCCATACTACCGTCGGGCTTTAAGCATGATGAACTAAATTCCGCAGACTGCAGTGATCAAGGAGGGACTTCGGTAAGCACATCCCACCGTAGTATGAGAAGTCCACTTACACAACCCAGGTTGTCATTCGGTGTCGTCGGCCGACTTCCACGAACCGTTCCCAAGCCTGGTGCCGAGTTCCATGGCTACCATGTCCCAGAAGGGGTATAACAGATGTATCCTTTTCTTGGTTGGTGATACTGATCGATATAGACTACCGTCAGCATGAGCTCGTGGATGTTGCATCGAAACGAGGACTTTTTTCCGAACGCAGAGAAGTTTGATCCGACACGCTGGCAGGACCCTGCCACACACAACGCCCTCGAAAAGCACCTCTTCTCGTTTGGCAAGGGCCCGCGGCAATGTGTTGGGATGCAGTGCGTATTGACTTGAATCATATTTGAATCGCGATTGTTGTCACGCTGACATTGCGTAGACTCGCTTATGCAGAGCTCTATATCACCCTCGGTCGAGTATTCAGGCAATTCGACGATTTGAAGACGCGGAAGAAAGCCAGAGAAGAGTTATTATACGATGACTACTTCTCATCCTACCATCCTGAAGCATACAACAAATTTATATTCGAGTGCGCTAGATAGTGGTTGAGTAAGTTTTTTGACATCTCCAGATACTTAGTTCTCTAAGAGTGTTTTTGAATGTGAATTGAGGGCATCGTCCCCAGAGCTCTTCACATTTGCTTATAGTGCGAAGTAGAAAGAAAACAAGCCAGCCTCTAGCTTAAGGCTTATGTCTTGTTGTATCGCCATCTGGCTTCCCCACTGTGCCCTCTCGACACTCTAAGTCGACCTTCAGCTTGTAAAGGGCAACTACTTTTAAGTCCGGTGGAGGCATCATCTGCATGAATAAGGCCCCTGTGTTACTGTTCAAGGTCAATAATAGCTTACTTAGGCCGGTTCCGCTTCAGGTCCTCGCTAGCCACAGCTGGAGCAACACAGATAAACAGCCCAGCTCTTTTAAACTCCTCTCTCCTCTTCTTCTCACAGCACCATCTTCCTTTTACTCTACATCCAGGTGTCGTCTCTCAAGAGCTCCTATTACTCTACATATTCCACATCGTCGATCGGTCGTTCAATCAAACTTCACTTTGATTCCCCTCAACCTTACTTCACGAGCCTTCTTGTTTTCATAAACCTCCTGAATAATCAAACATCATGCCTATGACCTGGGGCCACGAAGCTGATGCAAAGGTGCGCCGCATTTTGACAAGCTTAAAGAACACCAAGACTGATCAGAACAGCTTCTCCTTGGCATCATCGCGACCAGCAACGTCAAGCCCGACTACGAAGCACTTGCCAAATATATGGGCCCTGGTGAGTATTTACACAAGTTATATCATACGTACAGACGCTATTCAGGAGGGAGATTGCTGACACGACTTGACAATAGACTGTACTGTCTACGCGATCCAGCACAGAATTAGAAAGCTTAAGGATGCCGGAGCTGCCGCTTCTGCTGACGGCGATTCTTCTACTCCTGCTACTCCAGAGAAGCGTAAGCGCGGCCGCCCAAAGAAGGATACCAACGGTGACGCTGTGAGCAAGGACGAGGCCAGTCCTAAGAAAGCCAAGAAAGAGGAGAACGGTTGTGCTGTCGACAGCGCTTGAGCTTGCCTGGTTTACTTCCATGTATCAGTTCCCTTATTATGAGGGTTGCCTCTTGCCTGTGTTGGTGCGTTGTGTTCTGGTTTTGTAGCTGGGATTTATGGTTCATGGGGGCGAACCTAGTCTTTAGACAGTACCTGTGGCACTGGCTTCTTAGGAGACTCGTTATCTGGAATACGACCTGGGAATTGAAATGTTAAGTTGAGATACTGCGTCTTTGCTGTAGGTCCTGGACTCATGCAACATTGTATAGGCGTATCTTGCCAGTCTGTGGACTGTGCCCTCGTAGCTGGGTTCCGTGACGGTGTCCTTTTGCATTTACTAACGCAGTACTGTAAGAACTACTGGCCTGCGGCATTTGGCAATAATAATGACAGATTACATTGCGTGCTTGTCACAACCTTAAATACAGGAAGAACAAGTAGACTTTGCTACCTTCGCAATTTCCAACCCAGCGACCAACTCCCAGGTACAAGAACCAGAAATCCAGCCAGCCCATCAGCATCAAATCAAGCAAAGTTCATCATATCCATGTCTTCCATTTTCACACCCGCCTCGTCAGGAAGGAACTCGGAAGCAGAGCTCTCAGGATCATCCTCTCCCTGGTCGTCGCCCTCGTAGCTGACCATACCAGCGGGAAGAATGCTTGCCTTGCGGGAACGCTTGGTAGGAGTGTCCAGAATGCCAAAGACAGACTCATCAGATCCCTCGGTCTTCACGAAGCCACTCTGGACCTGTCCCTGGTTTCCTGAAAGAGTCGGGTGGAGAGGCTTCTTCTTGGTAGGTGTGTCGATCTCGTCGTCGCCGGTTTCCATCTTGACCGGACTGATGGCATTCTCCTCGTTCTTGAGAGCGTTGATGTTGTCGTTTGCGTCAGCAACGGCACCGGCTTTTCCACCGCGCTTGCGCTTAGATCCGGGAGTCTTGACAGGGGTAGCGGTTTTTTTGGCCTTCTTGGGAGTAGACGTCTCGCTTCCCGTCTTGCTACCAATGGTAAAACCATCACTGCCAGAAGCTTTGACAATTTGTCGCATCTTAACAAGGCGCTCCCTTATGGCACGAGGAGTTGGCTTTTCGTTTTCATCAATACCGGCTGTTTAGTGTTAGTGGTTGTCATGTATAATGTTTAGAATAGAGGACTTGAATCATGGAACTTACGCCAGGCCGAAGCAACCTTGTTTGTATCGACGGAAAGGTCATGGGTCTCAAGAATTTTCAGCAAAAGCTTGTGTTTGAGTCATGGTGTCAGTCTTGGTTTCCATAGTGAGGGAGTGTACTCACAAGCTGATCGTTTTCGGGGGTCCAGCGCATCGGCATGTTTGTTGTTGATGAGGTTGAGTATGTTTGGCAGAGTGAAATAAGAGGGCAAGTAAGTAGCTGGAAGGTATGATCAAGAAATGCAGGAGATATGAAGAGTAGGAGTGAGTAAGGAGAATGCTGGTAGAGGTGGCGAAAGTAGATATCAAGGCAGGTCAAGATGAGAAGAGTAAAGAAGGTAAAGAGGCGAGGGGATGTGTTGCGGAGGAGTACTGAGAGGAGAGGAAGAGGAAGAAGCAGGTCTCAGCCTTCTCTGTCTCTCTATGGGTGTGATTGTATAGCTCTGGCAGTGAATACCTCAAGGATCTAAGTACAAGATCATCCACATCTCACTGGTGTTGTTGTAATTCGCTCATCTAAAACTCTAGAAGGGTGACAGTCTGCGGGAGCAGCCCACACCCCTCGCACCTATTTTGTATGCTAGAGTTGTCATCTTCCACAATCTGCTGTATTCCAACCAGATCACTTATACAATGGTTTTAACATCATCCATCTATCACTTTAGTTTCTTACAGCAGATGAGCGGTGTAGGGATACAATCCAGCCCGAGTCCTCAAATCTACAAGTCATCGCCACAATCCTTCCACCTTTGCATCATCGCTGTCCAGGATGTTCCTGCATTTTGTCTGTCTGATGGATCTATCAACTATCCAAGCATCTAGTATGGGTGATGGCGTTAGATTATCTGCATCGGATGTCTGATGCTTTCTTCCTGCCCTTGTGTTTGGTCAATTGTTGCGGATCGCCATTGGTTTAAGTTCAAGGATGTGTTACCAACGCGCATTCACAAAGTCTCGAGGACTACAACATCCAAGGCAGATTGTAGGGGTTTTATCCTTTTTCTTGTGAGTTTAAAGACTGTATGTATAAGTTTATGTCAATTACTCTTTCCCCTCCTTACTACCTGCATAGTGCTCTGATGATTCACTTCTACTTGTACCTGTACTCGACCTCGACATTCATAGACTTTCTCTAATCTGCATCTTTCCTACAACCTGGAAGTTTTGACAGAGATTCCCAGTGTTCTGTGTTGTAATTATCCCCTTTTCTCTAACCTTCCAGTCGGTATGCATATAAGTCAGAGTGAAGTCTGTGGCTGACTACTCGAACATTAGGTCTCTTTTGTAATTCTTACCACTACACATTGCCATCTCCAGAAACACAATTCTCTCAAAATCCCTATAAATGTTCCTGGGCTACATCCATGCCATCTACTTTACCTAAATCCAAGCAATTCGCACCGCTAGTTCTTCCAGTCACCCCTTAAATACAAGTACCACTACCAACCCCCGAATCTCCTCCAAAAATCCATACAAAATGGTCAATTGGAAAGCCAACGAGTCCACCGACCGTCTGATCGCGGTGCTCATCGCAGCTCACCCAGGCCTAAAGGTTCCTACCTCCTCATCCCAAACACAAACACCAGGCTCACTCTCCCACAGCTCGAATACCAAGCAATGGCCACCCTCTTCGGCCAGGGAGCCACCTACGACGCCATCGAGGGCCGCTTTCGCCGCTACCGCAAAATGGCGGACGAAGTCAAAGCCGACGCTCTGAGCAGGGGCATCACCGAGCTACCGCGCGGCCGGAACGGCACCACAAGCAGTAGCAGCGTCACGCCCCGGACCCCGCGCGGACCACGCAGCGGCATCACGAAACCCTCTTCTTCCACCGGGAGAAGTAGAAAGAGCACCGTCAGCCAGGTGCTCTCGACCCCGACTAAACGGGGCCAGGGCAGAGGTGGCAGCAACAACAACGGCAACGGCATGTCATTCATGGAGGCGATCTTCCTCGACGACGGGCTCTCCGAGGAAGACAAGAAGGTGAAAAACGAGGCTGCTGAGATACTCACTGGGCTTGTGGGTCATTCGGCGGTTGTGCATGATCTGACGGGTGCGAGTACGCCCACCGGCTCGTCTGCTTCATTTGCCTCGATGAAGATGGAGGATGCCGCCGAGAGCTTCTCGTCTGCCTTTGGCGGTGCTGTCAAGCAGGAAGGTCGGGGGATCGGTCATGTTGGTGGCGGGGATATCGAAGTGCCTGCTATTGAACATGACGAGTTCGATATGGCGGGTTTGTACTTCCACGGTCATGGGGGGTACGACATGGATGATATTTATGGTGGGGCTGCTTGAGTATTATTGACTGGATAGCGGTTGGAGCGGCTGATCGGAGTCCAAAGTCAAGTAGCAAGAAGAGAAAGGGAGAAATACGAGCTGAATTAGAGGGATGGAAGACTAGAACTGTACTATGCGGGATGAGGGTACACTAGGTGGGCGGGAGCAGGGCAAGATGTGACATGTCACAACACGGAGGAGTCATAGTGTCATCGTACTTTTTTCCGGTCTGCGCATGCATTAGTCTAGAAGAAAAGTCTGGCCCTCAGTATGATGTTTCAGGTCTGTTCTTGGTTGTACTTGTGCTTCATTTAGGAAAGTTGGCCCTAGCCCTAAGCCCTATGTCCATTTCCCAATAAAGACCATGCTGTAAGGAGGGTCCTACACAAAAGACAAGTGAATAGATAGTCTCGGAGAGGTCCGTGTGATATCTGGACTGCAGTAATCAGGACAGTGGTGGCTTGTTCGTGCTGGATAGTAGGCTCTTCCTGTAGCCTGTGATATTATATATGTAGCTTGACAATTAGAACGAAGGTAAAAGGTGAGACGGACAAATCTGCGCCCAAGCCAAAGAATTCCTGGCTACATCTTAGACCTCTTTTGTGAACGAAGCTCTGATATATACAGGACATGGTTGCTGAGAGCCAGGATATCGCCGTTCTCCGCCAGGATCTGAAGGTTTACATCATAGCGGCCATTGGACACCATGTGCGAGTTCGACCGGATCATCACCCACTGCGTGGACGGGTCGGGCCGTCGCTTGAACTCGACGGAAATGCAGAGCGTGGACAGCGCGTAACGGTTGTAGAAGCCTGGTTGGTGGGTTGCGGCAGGCTGAAGGGGCTGTTCGAGGCGGTTAATTAGCTTTCAGCAACGGTTTGTTGATTTTCCTGTGGGCTCACCGTATCTGACAGCAAGGCTAGATGCAGAAAGTCGGAGATCTTCGACCCATCGCGGAAGGACAACCAGACCTCACGGTGATGCCCTCCCAGTCGATGACCCCAGAGCCCGTTTGCGGACCTCGGCGCTACCCAGTGCAGTTTCCGCGTGACGGGAGTCGCATCGACCACTGGGTCATCGATGGTGACGCACTCGGTCTCACGCGGAGGAGCAGGGATCCTCAAAGCAGGGTCGCTTGCCTGCGACAGGCCACTTTCCTTGGATAGGTCACCATATGTGAAGATTCCGACAGTAGCTGGAAGTTCCGGCTTCTTCCACAGCGCAGTGTGAGAGCGTACCAGTTCCACGTTCACCACACACTGCCGTGAGGAAACGCGCAAGAGTTTGCAGGTGATCGAGACGGGACCAGGAGGAACCATGCTCAGGAACTGCACGAATGCATGCACGGGGTCGGGAAACCGTCCATCGCCGAGCTCCGCAACGATGAACTTCTTCGCGGCGGACAGCATCAACGCGTGCAGGAAGCCTCCTAGTACGGAGCTGTTCTAGTCAGCCTCTGAGCTGCTGGGATCGTTCATCACGGCACAAGTCCGCTAAACGTACTGCTGCGTAGTCCATTCCTGGGAGATACTGGCCAGGAACCGGTGGGGGTTTTCTTCATCCTGGAAGACGGCAGAGACCGCTTCCAGTAACGGGGAGGAAGAGGGTTCCGCTTCCATGGGTACAAGCAAGACAACAACTGCCTAGAAGCGGGGGAGATTCAATGACTAGAGGTGTCTCCAGGTAGTACGTATTGTTTCAGCAGTCTGAGGCTCCAGAGTAGATCCAGTGCTGGCTATGTCAGCGATCAAGGCTGAGAATTCCAGCATTTAATGATTAGAACTGCAAAGCAAGATTGACCATCCTCCTTTTCTCAGTCTACCAATATTAGTATTCCGAGGAACTGCTGCGCTGGAAATGACCGAGACAGGTGTGTAGACAGGGGTCTATTGGAGACCAATTCATCGAAGATAATGGGCTTGGCTAATCAAAGCGACTCTGCTAGCGCCGTGAACATCAAGTTTAATGCCTAGGCAAAATAGCATTGAACCCCTCGATGTCCTCAGCAGTTGAGCTCTGCGGACGAACTAGATCTGCGCTCGGAAAGGGGAATGCATGGACCAGATAGGTATGGAGTGGATCGCAGCCGAGTGTAGTATTTTAGCCGTACTCCGTACCGTCTCCGTATCGATTGACAATCGCTGAGCCTAGACGGAGGCCTTGGAATGTACTCAGGGGCATGAAATTTTGCGAAAGGGAAAGATACCAATCCTCAGAGATTAAGTTGAGGAATTGTATCTATCTATGCCAGAGACATTCCGATCCGGAGTGGGTAGAGATCTGATAACCATGAATGATGATGACGATATCAATGAGATAATGATGGGTCTCCCTGCTGTTGCTGTTAGTCAACGGACCCAAAATTCGGTGACTGATTCTAGGTGTCAATCACCTCAAGACGCATGGCTGTCGTACGATCGGATGCCCAATTCCAAGACCGTGAGTTCTCGCCACGGATCATAAGATCATCCCGCATCTTTGCTTTTATGCAAGGAGTTGCCTTGTCCTGGACCTTGCTCATATTTCGAGGTTTTGCCCAACTATTGATAGAACCTCGAGGACATTCATCACATTCATTCTCTTTAACTTTGTCAGCGTGTCTCACTCAACGATCATCACGTGTTCTCTGGGACGCGAAGACGCGGTGCCACGCGGAAATCCCGACGATAAGTATTTTAATAATATGGGTATCGAGATTATTCTTAGACGCTTGGCCGGAAAATTTGCAGGAGGCAAATACTACTACTAGTAGTCTAGTCGTCCGTACTCTAAACGAGATACTACCTGAGCTACGGTCCTACGGAGTACTCGCGAGAATTTTCCCAGTTTGCGGCGCCCCCGATCACTCGGCTCTCCCGCCCGGACTCCGTATATCCTCGCCTCTCGCCTTTATTATTCCTCCTTTTCATTCCTTCTTTTCTCTTTTCTTTCTTTTCTTTCCTTTCTTCTCTTGCACTTTGATCGGGCGGCTGGGCTGGAATCAACAGGAAGAAGTGTGGGTGAGGAAGAATAAATCACAGACAAAATGATGCTCAGCCCTGCCCTCCAGCATCGGTCGGGCCTCACACCGCAATCCCCGTTCCACCACCTTCAGCACAATCACCACCACCACAACCCCTCAGCCTCGCCCGCCAAACCGCCCTCCATGGTCGTCCCCTCAACACAAATACATGAACCCGCTCAATTACCTACCCCGAATCAATCGGGGCCGACCACAATGCCAACAGACGAAGATGGCAACGACTGCTCGCCACAGGACTTTTCCGGTCGGGGGAAGCGCCTGACACTAGCGGAGCAGAAGTCTCTCTTCCGCCTCTGTGAGCAGTACATGAACCGCTACGACGCACACGAGTACCCCAAGAGCTTCTGGATGAAAATTTCAGAGTTACTCCTCAAATCCACCGGTCGGAAGTACTCCTGGCAGTCATGCCGGCGGCGGATGCAGCAGTACGTTGAGAAGCGAAAGACCTACTGGGCAGCATTTGACGCCGACAAGACACTCCCCGATCTAGGCGATATGGACGAGGACTTGGCCTCCGACATTGATGACTGGATGGGACGGTGCGAGCTGCGGCTCCAGAAAGAGGAGAAAGAGCGCAGGGACAAGGCGCAGCAGTCCGAGCTCGAGCAGGCGGAACTCGCACGCGCCCTCAAGCTGCAGCGGACGTACGAGTGGGCGAAGAATCTGCCTCCCCCTGAGGAAATGGAGCGCCAGCCGACCCACTGGGGCATGCCTCCTCACCGATTCGTGATCATGGACGGCCGATTGCTTCAGGGTCTGGATCTCGCGTTCCATCTGTCCAAGGTCCGGCCGGATGAGAGCCGGCAGTTGGCCCTCGACGCTGTCCTGCTCCACGGCGACTTCGGTTACCCATCAGCAGCACCCGACCAGAAACCGAAACCGGATCCCTCGGGCCCTTGCCTGGGGATCTTCAACCCCTGCAACAGGAAGCGGCCGCTCGATGCCGCCGAAGGCGTCGCCTCGGAGCGACCCCCGCGTCGTCCCCGTACGGATCTCGATCCCCACCCCCAGCTCCCACCCCAGCTCCAGCTCCAGCCTCAGGCTCAGCCTGCGGCCGGTGACAAACCCTCCGAGAAGAGAGAATCGCCCGCTGCCATGCTGGCACGGAAGAATGTGGACCGCATCGTCAACAACCTCTGGCTGCAGTTCGCCAAGGGCATCGCGCCGTACTACGAGGAGCATCGGGACCAGCCACAGACGAACAAGCAGTTCGGGCTGGTCCTTTACGATCTGTACCGGGATCTAGGTCGGTCTTTCACGAAGGCTGTCAATCGACTGGTGGATCTGGATTGGGACTCCGAGTACGAATCCGGCTCGTTGTAATGACGCCCTTTTTCACCTCCTTTCTTCACTTTCCGACGGCATTTGGTTTTGTGGATATGTTTATGTTATGTTCATGTGTTCTGATATTTTCCTCTGCATTTTCTCTGTTGTCCTCTCTCAGTGGTTCATCTATTTGCATCTTCCCATGCGCACCAGACTGGCTAGAGATACCCATTGCATGACTGTCCTGTTCAGCGTTTCTTACGATGATTCATATCTGTTCTGTTTCACAGCGTTTCATTTTTTGCATTACATCATATAGACAGGCGGAGTTTGTGCAATCGATGACTAGGTATCTTTCTCTCGTTTATTTCAGGCTTCCAGATGAGCGACGGAGTAGTACTCTTCACTTCAGTTTTATTATTACTAAGTAAATACTGTATTTTGTCTGCATCCTCGAACTACACTGGGGCGCAGGCGCTGCAACTTTGCCATTAAACATATGCACGCCATAATCGGGCATGAAGACCTTCGACTCGCCATGCGCAGGCAGGCGAAAGGCCATCATCATACGGAGTATATAGACCACAGCAAAGTCTAGACATCTGCCTCGGCGGCCTTCGACTTTCGACATTCTCTACCGTCTCGGTCTTAATGCCAACATCCTTGACGTGCAGACCCTTTTCACGAGCCTCGTCGATCAGGTGGTCCAGCTTCGAGTGACCGGGCTTGGTATGCCATGGCCTCGGTCCGTTCTTGCTAAACATCTCCTCCACTTCTTCGAGTGTCTTGCCACAAAGGTGTCCAGACAACCATCTCTAGCTAGTAGGGATGATAGTAGTAGGGTCAACACAGCAGGGAATACAACAGTACCCGAATAGCATTCCTCCCACAGTCGCAATCATGGCGCCGAAGTAGACATTGTATATCTTGGGGAACGTTGGTAGCTTCATGGCGAATGTGATGAGGGCGATTGCCGTTTTTGTCTTACAAAATGCCACGCACTATGGAGCCTGCACGTCGGGTCTCTCAAGAAGCAGAGCAATAGTGACCGTGGATGGTGACAAAGCGCATCTTATACGGAGTACAGCCCGCCAAGCAGGAAAGCTGGACCACACAATGAAAGTCAACCGGTTAAAGGCTTTTTTCCACTCTCTTACCTCGCTGCCTTGTCCATGTTCGGCAAACCCTGCTCGAAAGGACGGAATAACACCTGAAGCTTATAACCTAGATCATTTGTCATCACAATGTCCAAATCCCAGTTCAATGACTTATGCACAAAGTACGATATATCCATGGTATTCACAGCACCTTTAACTCCACCCTCTCCTCATCCCACATATGCATACAGGTCATAACAGATCGGTCATAGTTATTCTCAATGGCATAATCTGATCCATTGGTCCACAATCTCCTCCATATCGTGTGCGATGCCCCACTGAGAGATGAGGCAGCGGAACAGCTTTTGCATGGAGTTCATCTCATACAACAAATTCCGAACCGCACCCATACCAGTTGGGGAGTCCGTCCGACCTTGTTCAACGAAGCGTCGAGTCTCGGAGGAACTCGACCGTCTGACACTGTCGCTTCCGGGGTTAAGATCAGAGAGCGACAGAAGAGCATCCTGCCATACAATTGTGCATGGAAGGTGAATGGTTGCGACGCCTGCTAGCGAAAAGACCACATAAATCGTTGCCGCTGCAAAGAGCGAGCTCGGCATGTGGATCACATGGGCCCGACCCCTGGGCAGTTGCTCAATGATATCCTGGATGGCAACGGCATGCAACAAGGCGCGGCGAGCGTCCTCTGTGTTCACCCACTTCACCATGTCGAACCCAGGCCCCAGTGTCCGAGACCCTCCAGACACTTGCTGGGAGATGTCGTAGCGGGAGCAAACGTGCCTAAAGAGCACTGTTGAATTGATCATGGTGTCGAGACAGATGGTATGCCAACGCAACAGGACCTCTAGTCGTTCCGGAGCGGAGAGGTGGATGCTCATGTTGATAGTTTCGTGGACCTGCGCCAGAGCTCTTCTCACGTCAGAACGACTAGGCACACCAACCGCTGCGAGGTCGCTTTCATCCGAATCTGAGACAAGAGACTGGAGGCCTTCTAAGACTACGCGAAGCGCAAACGCAGAAAACTGATAATCGAGCGGGCGAAAACTGCCAATTGGAGGAAACAAAGAGCGAAACACCAGTCGGAACGACGGCTGTTCTGTCTTTTGACACCGCATGTGAGCCAACCATTCGTCAGAATTACTGGCGTCGAACGCAGCCTCACTGCTAGGAAGGATAAGTGGATTGGTGACATGTCGTGTAGATGCCCCGTCTCCCGACATTTGCGCCACAAGGCCATCTAAGATGTGATATGCGAGCAAAGCACGCTGCTGTATTTCTCTCGCAGCCCAGACTCGCCATTGGTGATCTTTTTCGGCTTGCGAAGAACTGGGCAAGGGGAGGTTCTCCACAGAGAAAGGTTCGCTGTCTAACATGCCACAGTGCCTTGCCCAGAAAAAGCCAAGGGAACGGAAGACCTGACTTGTTGTACGTATCACTCGATTCTAAAAACAATGCCAAGATGTTAGGGGTCGGTAAACAAATTCACGTGGCAGAAGAATAATCACCTTTGACAATGCACCATAGATCTGCCCCAGAAGCGCCGTGATGAGCAGCTGAACACCTTTGCAAGCATCATAGGGTCCGCGATGTGTAATTAATGATTGCCACTGCGAAAGGTCAGTATTCAGGCCGTGGACATGGCAGAGTATTGCATTCTTACCGAAGTAGCAACAGCAGTATGAGCCAGTCGCCATAAGGCCTCACCCTGTAAATAAAGTTCAGCGCTGTCTGAGAAATAAGAATGGGTTGCCATGCTACCTTTGCAACTGAATCCTTAGGCCCGAGATACAAAGAGCCAAGCGCCATTGCGTTCAGCAGAAGAGGGTGAGTGCACTCGCGAAACACAAAGGTCGCCCGGTGCAAGATCGGAAAGGTGGGAATGAACCTCACAAAGAACATATGCAGACATTCATCGAGAAAGACTGATGTGATTGAGGTTGCCTTGATGGCCGCTGTCACACTCGAGGACTGCAGAAAAATCAGCAAGTGAGAGAAAAATCCGCCCGAATACCTACTGAGCTGGTCACCATTTCCGTCACATCCCTCACAGCTTGGTGACTACCACCTGAGGGAATCGTGCCTATTGAGGAACTCCGGTCATCAAAGGAGTTGGGAGAACCGAAATTGATCGTGTTGACGTCCTGCACCACAGGAGGAAATGGAAGTGTTCCCAGAGGCATCTGCCAATGTTCTGTCGTATCTGACGACATGATGCTATGGAACAAATTCTCGGAGTCAGGCCATATCAAGGTGAAGTCGAGATCTGAGGCAGCCTGCTGGAGTCCAGACTGCGGCTCAGATGGAGGGGCGTTCCATGTGTGACTAGATGTAGAGATGGGTGCCGCACACTCTGTTGCAGCTCTTGTGGTATCCCAGGGAAGGGCATCTGGGCCAGTAGTCTGGGAATGTAGATGTATAGCATTTTCCCCTTGGTTAACTTTGATTGTGGGAGTTGAGCTTGTTGTCCGAGTATGAAGCTTTTCATGGCGCGTGAGAGCATCTTGGCGGGCGAATGGTCGACGACATTCTTTACACACGAACGGCTTGGATCCGGTATCTTTTACATCATACAGTCAGCGGTCAGGGCCGTCAAGAATGCAGAGAGAAATGTCAATCTTGTAATCGAGTAACGTGTGACTGGCAAGGCGGAGATGAACTCTTACGGCAACGTTCATGCCTCTATTTACCGATGCAATTAGCGGAGTCCCCACAAGGGTGTGAGAATGGAGCGTAACTACCCTCAGATGCTCGGCCTTGGAGAAGGCCTTTTGACAGACTCGACACACTAAGCTCTTCATCCCTGCTCCTGTGGTGGGCATGGCCGACGATGTGGGAGATGATAATGACTATTTGGCTAGAGACAGTGCTGAGAAAATCACATTATMGTGATCATCAACGCCGCTGTCTGGATGAGTGGATGAAGATGGGGAACTGGGGGCGAAGCGATTCGGACACACGTGGGGACCGGGGAGGTGTACAGATGGTTAAAGCAGTGGGGACGTGTGGCAATAGGGTTCACAGGGAGTGTGCATAAGCCCAAATTTAAGGCCATGCTGCCTCACCCCTGAGGCAGCATATGGTCCTCTTAAGACTAGATAAGTAGAAGCACAACAATATTTAATCTCGAAGCGGATGCTACATCAACTCTCCATGGCTCTCGCCCCGATGACCTGCAGGGCGATCACATCTACTAAAATTAATTTTCATTTCACTTGTCGTCATCTCTCATTATCGCAGTAGTCCACTTCGCTCGTTTTATGCGTCTTGTACTAACGAAGTCACGCTGGTATCCTCCCACTCGGCAGTCTTGAGAAGATGGCTTAATCGTCGGCTCAGGATTCGGCAAGCGATGTAGTTCTCGAAATCAAGCGGAACGGAACAAACCCAGGGGCAAACTCAATCGCGCCGAGAAAGCCATGGAGAGCCAAGTTTCGCCTCAAAAACTCAAAGCGCATCGGCAAATAGACGAGCTGCCGTTTCTGGGGCCTCAGCAGCAAGCAAGCTAATTGTTCATTTTGTAAGCCTTATCTCATGCAGAGAGTATCCTCATAGTCATGATACAGGCTTGAGTCGATTGACTGATCGAGAGCATTGATTAGTATCCGGGAATGTGTGCGAGCAGTGCGAGTGGATTGGGTCCATTTCCATCCCGTCGGCTGAGTGACACCACAAAACGACTGCTACGGGTCCTCCTAGCTGGGGTCATATGTCTGAGCACGGCTGGTCCAATCAATGCACTCGGCACTATCCAGCAAAATTGCCGTCTTGACACCGGCACTGTCAATTATCGGCTTTCTTACTCGACCCTCTCGATGATGTACCGTGGGGAGTCCTCCGCAATTCGCGTCTTCTACTCCATGGAGAGTTCCCCAACTGGACCGGTCTCTGGGAAGAAATGGAATTACCCCGGAGAGGAAGTCAAAATGCCAAATGATAGGTCATTTCCCCCGTTAGCAACTCGTGGAGATTTCCACATTCTTTCGGCTAGAAAACACCACTCTGTATGGCATTAGCACGATTCGATATTATTCATCCTTGTTATCCTTCATCCTTTCCCCATTCTAGCACCCTCCCTACTCCGAGTGTCTCAACTGTTCAACTAGGCAAAGTCACCCGCGAGACTATTCAACAACTAGACACATATATTGGTTTCGGTATCAGAGTCTTTGGAGAGAAACAAAGGCTCCGTTCGAGCAATGAATGCCTCTATGGAACTGCGGCCGCACAGAGCGAATGATGATGTTTTAGAGGCCCCTCTGCCTGCAAAGGCCGACATCGATCTTGTGGAGAGCACAGAAGCTGGCATCCCTTCCAAATATGCCGATATAGTGGCCTCTCGTCTCTCCAGATCCCATCGGGACTTCCTGATGGAGCATCATGGCACGCTGGATCTCGATCCTATTCCAAGCATGGATCTTGCAGACCCCTATAATTGGCCCGCGTGGAAGGTTTGTAACCTCGACAGTATTTTGACCATGATAAAGTGGAGAACATGCACCAGCTTGTGGCCTATACTGACTATCGACTATTACAATGCTAGAAAATGGCGAATCTGCTCCTAGTCGCTTTTCACGCATGCATGGGTACCTTTGCTGCAAGCGGAATCATCCCAGGCTACAGCATGTACGTTCCTTCTTAATACTCTTTTGAAGCCGCCCAATGGAGGTCCAGTTTGCTGATGAGAAATTCCAACAGCATTGCTGAAGATTTTGGCGTCTCCATCAACAAAGCGAGTTACCTTACCTCCCTTCAGATCGCGATTCTGGGCGGAGCACCATTGTTCTGGAAACCCTTGTCTCAACGTTACGGACGTCGCCCCATCTTCTTGCTATCATTGATTTGCAGCTGTGTCTGTAACATAGGATGTGCCAAAAGCTCCGACTATGCATCAGTCGCGGCCTGTCGAGCCTTGCAAGCCTTTTTCATTTCCCCTGCTTCCGGTAAGGGTTGTGTAGGCGTGTATGAAGAAAGCCTGAGCTGACTCTTGTGTAAGCGATCGGAAGTGCTATTGTGATGGAAACCACTTTCAAGAAGGATCGCGCCAAATACATGGGAATCTGGACTCTAATGGTCACAGTTGGCATTCCTTGCGGCCCATTCATCTTCGGCTTCGTTGCACACCGTGCTGGTTACGTTTGGATTTACTGGGTGCTGGCAATGGTTAGTTGGACAAATCCACCACAGGGTCCACAAGCGGCTATTGACCTTCATCACAGATCAATGGCGGTCAGTTCATTCTGTACCTCTTCTTCGGGCCAGAAACTCGTTACATCGGCGGCGACGAAAACCCAAAAGAGCCCGCCTGGAAACGAGAATACCTTTCTTTGCGACGCATAGACCCAACTCCCCTTACGTGGTATGAGTTTGTCAAGCCTTTGACGATGATCATGCAACCATGCATTGCCATACCCGCTGCGGCCTATGCCATGGTCTTCTGCCTAAGTAATGTCTTGGCCACCGTTGAGGTACCGACGCTTTTAGAACTCAGGTGGGGCCTCAACCCAGAACAACTGGGACTGCAGTTCCTTGGACCCATCATTGGATCGGTACTGGGAGAGCAACTTGGTGGCAGGATGTCTGATCTGTGGATGAGACAGCGAGAGCGCAGGGCTCGTAAAAGGCCTGAGCCGGAATACCGCTTGTGGCTCAGCTATATTGGGTATATCCTATCCATTGTCGGTCTCATTGTCTTCCTTGTATGTACCCAATTGTCCGGAAACCACTGGGAAGTTGCTCCTATCATCGGCATTGCCATTGGCGCCGCTGGCAACCAGGTAGTGACCACGGTGCTCATCACGTTCGCCGTCGACTGTTATCCTGAAGAAGCCGGAAGTGTTGGCGTCTTCATCACGTTCGTCCGGCAGATTTGGGGATTTCTTGGGCCGTTCTGGTAAGTTGCGTTTTCACCGGGGCCGTTGTGCAAGGACTGATGGCGTGACAGGTTTCCAGCTATGTTCGAGAATGTTGGGGTCGCTGCCAGTGCTGGAGTCGGCTGTGCACTGATTGTGGTAGCCAGCATCATCCCGACGGTTATCGTTCATGGGCAAGGCAAGAAATGGCGTCCCAGCCAGTGATGAAGGACTTTCCTGGACTTTCTCGTCATGAAACGTCGTCACTTCGAGCGAAGAATAGTAGGTTGGCTTAGAACAGAACAGATGATAGACTGGGACGGGTATCTATTGAGGTTGAGCATGGCGAATGGATCAATCGGAGAAGAGAATGAGAGAACAATCATTAAAGAAAATCACCGAAAGGCGCGAAAGGGAGAGAAAGCCCACGTAGCCCCATCGTAAACATTTATATACTCCGGAAGGGTTTCATGTTAGCTGACCCCCCTTCCCGAATGACAGGCCGATATCAGACCATCGGGGAAGTCAAGCAGACCACCGCTTGTGGACTTTTCACGGCTGCCCGACCGTCGGTTCGGAGGCCGGGATTGTCAAAATTTTACTGTACTCGGCTCATCTACACGAAGACAGCCTTTATTAAAGCGACAATCTCATTTCTCAATCAGTAGTATTAGATGTATGAAGCCTGGCGCCAGTTCTCCTGGCATAATCGTGGAGCTTAACCACCTCCACCGAACTATGAAAATGATATTGTTGACACCTCAGGCACACAGCACTACACTGGGGAGTATGCCAAAGTTAAAAGTCCTCCCCGGATATCCACAATTCGGACAAGCTTAACTCCGCGCGGGATAAAGATATACCCACGCGAGAGTCTGAGAGCAGCAGAAATAAACTGCCGATGCGAATTCCTCTCGAATGGTCACTCATAACAGGTCTCAGGTCGCTAATCGCGAAAGCGCTGCTATGAAATAATCCCACAACGAGGATATAATCTGTTCTGTATCGTCAAGCTGGCGATGATTACTCTTTTTGGTTTGTCGGCTACAGTGCTTGGCTTTAGTGGTGTGTGGCATTAGTGAGTGCTGGCAATGAATGGATGGACGCGTGGTGTGTGGAGACAAGTAGTTCGGCGACGGTCTGGGCCTGTGGGGATACGTGGGAGAGGTATAACAACATTTTATCGAAACAAGATCTAGATATCTTGATGTTACTATGCATTTCTAAATACGCACATGATGTACCTAGCATTATCCAATCATTCAAAGGACTGCGGATCGATGCTATTGGCCTTTTGCTCAGCTTCTTTCTCGTTTTGTGATAAGAATACCATGCGGGTAGTAGTATGTACAATCCTCTGGTCATCGACGATTCCAACGAACACATTCTCCCAATCATTCCTGGTGCTCGATCTTCGTGATCAAAGTTCCGATATGAGGGAGTAGTTCAACAGCAAACTCATCACCTGCCGTCAAGAACTCCTTCGGGTTCTTGGCCGCTCCGACTCCGGGAGGAGTACCGGTCAAGATAATGGTACCGGCAGGCAAAGTTGTTCCCTGCGACAAGAAGCTAACGAGTTGAGGGACACTGAAGATCAAATCACTATTGGAGCAAGAGTCAGCGTGGGGACAAGCAGTGGGTCCGTAGATCGGTGCGCTCATACGTCAGAGGGCAGTCCTGCATGACTCGGCCATTCTTCAAGCCGCGGATGTGAAGCTTGCTGGCATCGGGGATAAGAGACGAGGAAACAAGGACAGGTCCTAATATCGGGAACGACATAGTTAGCACAACTCTTCCATGGAGAGTTAAACAGACGGGATAGCTACCAATGGGGCAGGAGGTATCAAAGCCTTTAGAGAAAGACCATTGGCTTTGGTTCATCTGTGATGTCCGGCTGGAAACATCATTGGCGGCGGTATAACCAAGAACGTAGTCCAGAGCCTCTGCCTCGCTGACATCCTTCGCATCACGGCCAATGACAATGACCATTTCCGACTCGTAATCGCCCGTGTTGTCGACCTGTGTGATCTTGGGAAGAACAGTCGGTGCCGGCCATGGGTCCGCAAGCGCGGTGGACGGCTTCAGAAAGAGAGTTGGCACATCGGGAATAGTCAGCTTCATCTCCGCAGCGTGCGACACATACTAATGAAGAAGGAATTCGCAAACGGTCAGCACCCAGCTACATCTAAAGCAAGAGTTTGCGACTCACATTCAACCCAATGCATCGAATGGATCCAACCTCGCTCTGCGCCAAAGGAGAAAGGATCCGCTCAATTATCTCTGTTGTCTCTGTCTTCTGGCCTGGGTTGAGAACAGATGTGCCGGTGAATGGTCGTACAGAGACATTCTTGCCCTGGTAGACAGCCAAACCAACATCCACCTGCGGATCTACTGGCTCACCTATCAAGATCTTAGCAGGGTTAGATCTGGGGATAAAGCGCACAAGGCCTATATAGTGTTAACATGGTTGCATTGGAGAAAGCTCAAGATGCGTGGATAGAACGTACGCGAAAAGGTGGAGGCAATTTTAGACATGGTCGTCGGGCGTAGAGATGAGGTTAGACGGATTTAGAGGGGGTATCGCAAGAATCATTCAGGTAGAAGCCCAGCTCAGCGTATCTTGTGAGATCCATCCTTCATTATGAAAGCCCCTCACAGGACATTTCTACCCCGACACCGGTGCGGATGCATTATTGCTGAGGACTCGGAGTCGGGCCGATAACAGCAAAGGCGGGGAAGTTGGAGGAGGGGCACCTTCAGCAAAGTGGGAGATGGACTCTGGAGCAGAGAAAATGCTGTTCGACTCTAAACTCAGCTGCAAAGGCCAAATGTTCCTTTTATCGCACTGAATGAGTTTAGATACCGCAACGTAATTGGATCGTTCTCAACCCCGAGTCCACCGGGCCCCAGAGATCCCCACGTTGGATTGTGGGGATGTCAACATTCCCGAGGGGCAATGCGGATAAAACTACTACGGTAGACAAACAGGGATGGTTATCTCCGAGTATTGAAGACTTGTCCCCGTTTAAAGAGCTGGGGAAATCGCTGCTCGCAAGAAGGCACCTGTTTCGATATCTTAGATCGAAATTTCATTCGTCAATTCATCTCGAATCAACCGTCAGAATGGCCAGCCCTAAGGGCCCTTTCCGTCTTGTTACTGTCAACACTGCTCCCGAGAGAGCCAAGCGTCTTATCGGACGTGTTGCCGATACCCTCAAGGACCGATATATCATCATTCATGTGGACAACTGCGAGAGTAAGAGCGTCTTGTTGCTGAGCATAATCAGGGTCCAGGAGTGCTGAATGTTTCATCAATATAGAAATCGAGGAGGTTGCTCCTAAGGTGAAGGAGCATATGCCTGACGTTCTGGTATGCCGTTTATCATGCATCTCATATGTTCCGTTCCACATTTTGCATATTACTTCCTGACGGCGTTTCATGAAGGCTGTGATTTCAGACCTAATATTTTTTTTTTTTCCCTACTATAGTTCAGCGCCTCCATGTGGACGGCTGAGGAAGCCCGCCAAATCCACGAGCTCGCCAGAGAAATCAAGCCCGGTATCAAGCTGCATGCCATTCCTACCGGTCTCCAAGTTGAACGAGGCCCCGATGCCATTGTCGAATATCTGTGCGAGAAGGTGCCACCGCTTCTGGATGCCTAGATTACGGATTCTGAGCTTCTCTTTCGACGACCGACCATTTGAAACCAACGCCATCGACTATGATTATGTCTGTTCTTGTATATATTTCCTGTAATAAACCACAGCGAGCTGAGTGAGCGTTAGCCGGCCTGTATTTCTTGTAATGCTTAGCATTCAAAAGCTACCAATAGACGATTGTTCATCGGTTTTCAATGCCTTACTGAATCAATCTGATGCTGCACTCGATACTGCTTCAATGCTGACCAATTTCAAGATATGAGGGCTTACAGGTTATGTCTCTAGTAAATTCATTGTGTCTATATCTGGTTGGAAGTGATTCAGATAACATTATACCATTAGTAACTTGGCTACATTAAAGGTCTATGTAAGAGTAGGTAAAAGATAATCGTATTGACAAACGACTAGATTGTTGGGTCGTATTAAAGTTCCCTAAGAGTAGTTACCTATTCAGGAAACATACGATCACTGATCAGAATATTCACTTTCAAAAACTAGAGACTGTGAATAATGAGATTTGCCATGACCCACCCTGACTGAGCTCTCTATTATATAAAACCATTCTTGTCTCCATTCTTTCTCCCACTCCATCATCCTCTCAACTCCATCTAGCGAGCGTCTCCAAGCTCTTCAACGGTCCAAGATGATCCTCTGCATCTCTACCTTGAGTTTATTAGACTTCGGCATCAACAGTGCCCAGGTAAGGACTCTATAAGACTGACGTCATTCTCACTGTTGCTTATCTCATGCTAGTCATGTATTCCCTCTATACGGGAGACAACTCCGCTGCCTAGGGAGCTGTGAGCAGGAGAACCCCTAGCTCCCGAAGGTCCAGAAATGGAGTCTCTCTCCTCGGCGCAGCTTGCACTCACCGATATCTACCCTCCTGCCCCAATAGGGAAACCACGAGACTTCAAGTCAGCGATAGAGAACAGGGTTAAGGCGCTCAGGGACGGAAGCACCGAAGACTCATACCTATCATTCAATGGCGTTACACCACAACTTTTCGAATACATCGAGAGCCGCCGGCACACCCTTGGAGCCAAACGTGCACGCTTCACCTATTTCGCTGATATCGAGACTCTCATAGTGAAGGTACCCTCCGAAGCCCACGAGAAGGCCCACGCAATAATAGGCCATGAAATCTTTTTCCGTCTGAGAAGGATGGGGATTGCCCCTGCGGAAGTTATCCTGTTCAGTCAACCACATACCATGGAAGCGGGGGCTCATCTAAGGAGGTCGACTCGGCGTACAAGAACTTGAATGTTAGATCTCAGGTTGCATCTTGGCCCATCTGGGTGGTCGAGGGGGGAATGTCAAAGTCCTTAGAACGTCTCCGTGGGGACGCGAGCTGGTGGATCAACCACTCCAAAGGCGAAGTTCAACTCGTCATTCTTGTCTGGATCTGTCCCAGTCGAAGGACCGTCAAGGTCGAGACTTGGGTTCCTGAGCGAAGGCCTCCTTCCCCCGCCCCCGGGCCATGTACCCGCGCGCGTGGCGCTATCCCGACACTTGGGGCCAGGAAAGAGGACGACGAGGTCGAGATGAATTTCTCAGCCAATACACCAACTTATCAAGGGCCCCCTGCCCTTGTTTTCCAATTCAGTCGACTTGTTGGCCGTACTAACCCGCCCGGCGAACATGATGTGGTGTTCACCCGGCAAGAACTGTTGCGGTTTGCCAGGGCCATATGGTGCGGAATTATTTAGCTTTCCTCTAGTCCCTGGAACCTAAGGAATTTGCAGAGCTCCTTAGGGTCATGGAGTTCCACCTCTGATATTGATCACAACTAATCCCGCTAGGACCAAAAAGGTCGTCCGGACTGCGTGCTCATCAGCCTAGTGGTATAGTATCTCAACAATATCTGCAGCTGCTAAGCGGCATAAGTAGGTCGCCCAGCAGACAGAGATATATATGTATGTGCATACATAGATATATGTATCAGTAGCTTTTCGAATTGACATAGTTACGATCAACAACAGGAAACCATGAGCCTCCCAGGCAATAGAGCAAAACTGGCGGCCAGAGTCTGAGATGTTCTTATTGCACCGGACTCGATTGGAATCTCCTGGTGCGATTGGGTCTCGACTGTGGAGCTTCATTCAGATGTATGCCAGCGTAGGCATAACAGACAATGGTCTATCTCGTGGGAGCAGATCAAAGGAACAATATACTAGTCTTTAGCAAGCTTAGTTTCCTAAAACCAAGCAGCTTGTTGATTACTTTAAGTATAATAATATCTCAATGATTATGACGTATTCATAATAACTCTGCATGGTTACTCATTACACTCTACTGCAGTACTAACTTTAGAAATAGAGCAGAGTCCCGTTACGAAGTCTGTCTCATTAAGATTCCAGATATCGTCTTTATGTATATTATAGTCCTGGTTAGCTGCACATATAGTGAGGTAGGTTAGACAAAATGATAGAGTACAGGTCTTTGTTAGTTAGAAGGATTCATTTGCTCAATACCTTGAAGCTATATAAAATTATAAGCCAGCTAGCGCTCGCTCCGCTCGCTGCGTCTTGAGGATGATGGGCTCCCGTATAGTGTAGGCTCATTTATAGCGTAAGCTCTTGAGCCTCTTGTATAGCTCAGGCCATGTAACAATCAAGATATGTCTTCTCTGCAGCCTCCAGCTCCCACTTGTGTCAGAGAGAATGGAAGGAGTTGGTTGGTATCCTGGCCAGTTCCTGATTATGGAGTCACTGCCTTGTTTAGCGACGTCTTTTGTATTCCCCAGGCTAGTGTCGATTTTTCTTTTCCCTTCTTTTCCGGCTGTAGGCACAGTTACAGCCCATCACACTGCTAGTCTATATAGAAGACCCAAGCAGAGCAGAGTAAGAATGATGTCTTCTTTTAGATATAGTCCTTGTGACATTAACTAATAGGTAATTGACTGACTCTCATGAGATATCTGCCGGGATGAATGATCGGTGGCAACCCTTGTTGAAAGGCCATGCTGAAGCCCACGCCTCAGCTGCCTCTTTATTATCGCCAGCAATGAGGTTATGTTGAACCGAACATAGCGAGCCGCAAGCTGCTGACCCTCAAACAACCAAAGTCCACCAGTGTAGCGGTAATAGTCAGAGTCACAGCAGTCATCAAGGACAAGTCAGAATCTTGCATTTGACATTTGAGACAGACTAATCTGCTTACAGCAATCTTTACCGTATTCTCTGGTGGAGGATGTTCGTATTATTACCCTGGGCGCGGCGGTTGACCTTGATCTTGTGGAAATAAGAGTTGGAATACGAAGATATTCCACAGAGCGAAAAAACATTGACTCAGCTGGGAGGTATGGAAATTGACTTTGAACACACCATTGCTTGGTGTACAAGACTAACAATAGATGGGTTGCTTTAGGCTAGTCAAAATTACAAAAATGTCTTGGAAGCACATAGCAGCAGTACTCCGTACATCACCATCTTCATTCTCTTTCCTTTTCTGGAACGATCCGAAGGTATCGGCTTAGTCATCGATTTTCTCGGAGTCGGCGGCCTGCGAAGACGGGCCAGTGTTCTATACAACCTTTCAGGCTCATCAACATTCCGCAATGTCGTTCGCAAGGATACAAATGAGGGTTGCGCCCAGCATCCGAGCGTTCTCGACGTCTCGTGTGCTTGGGTCAGAGCTCTCGTATCAGGTTTTCGGCCCAGAAAAGGAACAAGCCAGCCGAAATCCGATTATCTTCTTGCACGGTCTCTTCGGCTCGAAACAGAACAACAGAAGTATCAGCAAGTAAGAGCAGCCTCTGACCCTTCTGTGATCAACCGATTGACTGGCGCTCACAGAGTTCTTGCACGTGACCTCAAACGACGGGTCTTCACTCTGGTCTGTGTCTCAGTCTCAGTGCATCTTAAGGGTGGAAGACGGAATCACTGATGATCTTCAGGATTTGCGAAATCATGGGCACTCATTCCATCACAAAGAGCACAACTATTCCGTCATGGCCGAAGATGTGGAGAAATTCATCCACCAGCACGATCTGGCCAAGTGTGTCCTGATTGGTCATTCCATGTATGTCTCTTCTCCAGAACTGTTAGCGAGGTCGGGCCATACTCAACTCTTCCTGGAAACAGGGGAGCAAAAACTGCAATGACAGTCGCTTTGCAATCGTCAGATCTAGTTTCGGCCCTCATACCCGTCGACAATGCTCCTGTCAATGCTGCTCTGAAGAGTGACTTCGGAAAGTACGTGCGAGGCATGCAGGAGGTCGAGGCGCAAGGAGTCACCAAGCAGTCGGATGCCGACAAGATCCTAAAGGAATACGAGGATGTAAGTTTATCCCTTTTGCGCTCAGAGCGGGTCATGGATCAAAGCACCAGACTCACACCAATTGCACAGGCTCTTCCCATCCGTCAATTTCTCTTGACCAACCTGGTCCGCGCGGAAGATAGTCAGAAGATGAAATTCCGTATCCCTCTGTCGGTTCTGGGACCGGCTATTCCCGCCATGGCTGACTTCCCCTTCCGCGAACCGGGCTCCGTCACTTATGATGGGCCGACGCTCTTCGTCAGAGGCACGAAGAGCAAGTACGTCAGCGATGACACGGTTCCTGCCATCAAGAAGTTCTTCCCCAATGCTGAGGTAGCGGACGTTGAGGCAGGTCACTGGCTGATCTCGGAGAATCCAGAGGCTTTCAGGCAAGGTACGTGTACTATTCATGTTTATCTGTTGGTTGAGTTTGTTGACTAAGGATATTCCAGCTGTTGTGAAGTTCTTGCAAGATCTGCCGTAGAGTATTTAGTCTGCGTATAGAGGTGGAAGGACGGCGTTTCTGTGCTTATGTATATGTTTGTGCATTCTGCGCCACTTTTAGAGTGGCTAGTGAAGATCTACTCATAGACACATGTATGAAAAGGAATAGACACAAAGAAGGAAAGAAGTGATACAGGTAATAATGATGTGACTTCATACAGCAAGACACGGCAAAGAGGTATCTCGGTGATAATCCAAACTGTGCAAGGAACAAATGTAATCGTGAGAATCGTGATCGCTTGGCCCAGTAAATGCTTGAAGACCGACGCTGAACTATAAACATGGAATCAAGGCTAGTCTATGGTGATGGGGCCCTCTGTGATCAACCTGCGCTTTTTCTTCTTCTTGGACTTTCTCTTGCTCTCTGAGGGCGACGCGTCTTCATTGTCCAATGTATGAGCTGGCGAGGAGAATGTGCTGGGAGACTCATTTCTAGCACCAGATGACCTCTCATTCTCATCGTCGGATATGGTCGAAGGACGTGGTCGTTTCTTCCTTTTCTTTTTCTCCCGCAATGCCAGCGCAGGATTGGCCTCGGCGATCTCAGCATAGTTTGGGAGAGGGGCGACATCTGATCCAACAGGGCTTTCTTCTCGCTTGGGGGATTGTATCCCACTTTCTGCGAGAGAATCTAGCGCCTGCACTATGGATTGCTGAGATTCCAAAGTATCTTTGAGCGCGTTAATGTGCTCTGACAAGTCCCGATGATCGGCCGCCACGGATTCCTCAAAGCGGCGGAAGCGGTCATCGAGGGATTGCAAATCCTTTTTATTTGAGGTGATTTCTTTCATCGCGATTTTCATCTGGTTGAGGCCACTGGATAAATTTTGGACCTGGTCTTTCAGTTCGCGAAAGGATTCATCTAACTCAACCCTGTTTTGACCGTCGGCCGCCTCTTTGCTTTTAATATGGTCCTTAATTTCAGAGACATGTTCTCGATATTGCTCGGTCAGGGAGTCAAAGTTGGCGTGTAATTGCTGAAGTTTGTCTGGCAGAGCGCGTGCACCTTCTAGCTGTTCTGTGAGAGCAGAGACCTGATGAGCTACCTTTCCAAAGGATTCCCGGAGATGGGTTACTTCTGCTGAGCGCTGGCCGACATCATCTTGGAGACGGTTTACCAAAGCCTTCTGGCTATTTTGGGCCTGAACAAGCTGTTCAATGGTCTTTTTCAGAGACGATATTTCTTTCTCAGCCTGATTTTTCAAGGTTGCAATCTGCTCTGCCAATTGGCCTGCGGAAGGATACATCTCTTGCATGGCAACAACCATGTTCTTTACGACCATTTCGGTGGAAAGATGATTGTAACGTGTCTCCAGGGAATGGAGGCCGACGCGCACACTGTCGAGTAAGCGATTGGAATTCTTTAATGCCACGTCGACGGTGTTGATTTTCATGTCTACCGTGTTAATTTGCTGGAGGGCTGCGGCGGGGTTCCACTGGCTCATTTTCTGTATATCTTCGGCGAGGCGCCTGGAGAGCTCTTTCAAAGATTGTATCTCAGCTTTATCCACAGCTGCTGCACGGTCCGATTGGCTCATTTTCTGTATTTCTCCGGCGACGCGGCTGTAGCTGTCTTTCAATGACTGTATCTCAGCTTGATCTGCACGGTCCAACTGGCTTATTCTCCGTGTTTCGTCGGCGAGGCGGCTATAGCTGTCTTTCAATGATTGTATCTCGGCTTTACCAACGACTGATTTCTTAATATCCTCCATTTCTGCGAAATGAAGCTCGTCTTTCATCGCCTGAAGGTCTTGTAATTGCTGGAGCTTTTCTGACAAATTCTGGACTGTCGACTGCAAGGATGACTCAGGTCTAGGAAACTTGGATAGATTGTTTTCGACATTCTTTAAACGCAACTCAATATTAGATGCGTCAATTGGAACTGTAGCTGGAGCCTCCGGCGGAGTTACCTGGGCCTTTTCTATCGGGGCCAGACGCTCATGGA